TACACACACATAATACACCACACACACACACACACACACACACACACACACACACACAACACACATATACACACACATACATACACACCACACATACCACACACACACACATACAGACACATACATATACCACACACACACACACACACACACACACACACACACCGCACACACACACACATACATCACATACACACACACACACACACACACACACACACACACACACACACACACCATACATGCATACTCTATCTCAACCCTAACTCATACTGGATTTTCTTTTAAATAAGTAGTCTTATTATTATTTTATTATTGTGTGTATATGCTGCCCACATGGAGAGGTCAGAGGATAGCTCTATGAGTTGTTTCTTTCCTGCCCACCTTTATGTGGGCTCTGAGAATCACAAGTTCTGGTTGGGCTTGAATATCAAGTGCTTAGTCATCTTACCATTCCCCTAACTTACAAACTTGTGAAAATGAAGCTGTTGCTTGAAAAAGTAGTTGAGTAATGGGTACTGTGAACAACCACCAGAAAATGAAACAAGTAAGAGTGGGTTAGTCTTTTGAGAAGCATGTTTTAGTGTTTGCTGTTATGAAATTGTGTTTACACTTATTGGGTATTTTAAAGGAAAATAAATATCTTAATATTTAACATCACGAAAGTACCAGTTTTACAGACTTGCATAATGACATGCACTTAAAATTTAAGTGCCCGGGAAACATGTTTTAAATTGTATATGTAAACTTTCACAAAGGTTTCATTTATTATATTTGAATAAAAAAATAATTCTGTGTTTTAGCTTCCATAACTATTAAAATCAATTCCTTATTTCTAAAAAGATACTCAGGTGAATTGTCTGTTTCTATTTTAACAAAATTCCTTTATGGGATCTGTAAAACTGAGATTTTGGCATAGTTTTGGCACAGCTAACTTCTCAAATGATTTCTTACAGCAGTGCTGAGTGACAGGAACCTCCATGAGTCCTAGACTATATACTTGAGGGAGCACAGACAGACAAGAGCACTTGTAGGAGAGTAAAGCCTTGTTATCAAGATTTGTGCTGCTTCTGCTCATTTTTATTGGGCTGTCAGTGGGCAGAACTTGGAAGCAATATGCATGTGTGTGTGTGTGTGTGTGTGTGTGTGTGTGTGTGTGTGTAGCAAAGTGAGACTCATAATAATGATAGAAGTTAGTTAACTGAAATCACTTCAGAACTAACAAGGGGTTAGGTGTTGTGTTGTCTCACTTATACATAGACTCTGAAAACAGCACGCTCACAGAAAGAGAATAAAGCAGTGTCTACCAGAAGCAGGCCCTTAAATACATTCTTCAAGCCATAACATATGAATCACTGTGTGTTCTAATCAGATCACATAGCTTTTGGCTTGTATGCTGTGACACTATGTACTAAAAAAAATATTTAGGTATTACTAGAATGAACTAATTTTCTAAGTGGCTTATTTACCAGCCAGACAAAGAAAATTGTGCATAGATGGTAGTTAATTACATTTGATTACAGCAGTGGAAGAGATGTGTCCAGAATGCAAACCTTGTTATAACACTATTGTTGGTTAATAACTGTTGTTCAGAGTTGAAGATATCAAAAGAGCAACATCAATAGTAAATTTTTGATAACTATGTTATTTTGATAGTCAATCAGATGGCACACTTGTTATCTTGGGAAGCTGAGGCAGAAGGATCTTGAGTGCAAGGACATCCTGGGCTACATAGTTTGAGGCCAGCCTAAGCTACATAGCAAGATTTTCTCTCTCTTCTCTCTCCCTCCCCCTCTTCTCTCCCTCACTCTCTGTCTCTCTTTCTCTGAGTGTGAAATAGTGATTATTTTATATTAATATAAGATATATAAATATAAAGATTACATATATAAAGATTTACATATAAAGATTATTTTCTGGAGTGGATTTCCTGGCTCATAATGGTTTTACATATGTTAACTCAGTTTGTTTCTGTTTTGACATGTGGAGCTTAACATGACTGAAAAGTAAGGTCATGTTAATAATTTGTGTGTGGAACAACTATACATGAGAATACTTTCACAAACCTGAGAGAAAACAATGTCAATATAACCCAAAGTGGAATCTGCTAAGATGTACTGTAAGTAGCAATAGTAAAAATATTTATGTGAAGAAATAGGATTAGTTGGACAAACAGACTAAAGCTTGCCCAAATTAAGAATGCACACTATATTTACTCATTGTTATAGCTTAACAGTGTGTTTCTTTGGAAAAATCATTAAATTTGTCATTGAATTTACCATAGCTTTCGATGTCAGATTTTGCTATACACTTGATAGTCAGTCATAATAAACTTAGCCTAAAACCACAGGACAGGATTGTAATTATATGTCAGCTTATACTGGGCTAAATAAAGTCATTTCAATAACTACTAATGTTGCTTGACTCAAAAGGACTATCAAGTTTTTTTTATGTACTTCCCATGTCAGAGTGAAATCAAGAATGAGGTCAGCATTGCCCAAGTTAATACGATAGCACAAACCAATCGGCTCTGGAATTAATAAATGAAGTGAATGTGTATGATTTCTTGAGGCAACATAAATTGTAGTTCCAATGAGCAGAGCTCTTGGCATTAGCATTGGGCTTGATGGTGGCATAGAGTGTACCCCATAGTGTCAGTAACATTTTTGTGTGTGTGCAAAAATGAGGTAAGACCTTTGGTTGATGACAGAGTTACTAGAATGCATAGAAATAACAATACCTTGTAAATTTGTGGAAACCAGTTTCCAAAAGAATTTAAAATGGGTTTATATTTTTATTAAAACTGCTTATTATATGGGAGTCTGTTGACAGATATGTGGGCAATAAGCCATTACCTTGGGCTAAAACAATACCAGTTAGAGAGGCTGTATTAGTCAACTCTTTTAGAAGAGATGTCATATGACTGCATTTCACCAGTGTGCTCTGATCATTGTTCTCAAAGTGTCAGGGCTTCTAAAAGTGACAGTGAGAATATTTGCCAGCAGAAAGAGAATTTGTTGGACAAATTCAAAAAAGATGACTGTATGTACACATATAATAATTCATAGGAGATTATATATTTTGAGTCACTAGTTAAAAGTTTCTGAGACATACTATTATTGAGGCTCTGTCTTATGGACATTCACCCTAATATACTTGGCAAACTATAACTGAAATTGCAATAATACAGGAACTAAAATATGATTTACCTACATTCATTTGACAGAAATACGATACCAAATTATTTCTAGGCTCATCGCTAGTATGTCTTCTTGAGAAAGGAATCAGTGGGCAAATAAGACAGGTGAGTCATTCTTTGTGTGATATGAAGACAATGGATGTGAACTCACTGTTATGCAGCCAAACAAAGTTATGTGAATGCAAGTGGCAGACTCAGCCTCACACCTAGATGTGTTTTCTCATTTTACCTTTTAAATTCATCCATTTCAGTTTCTAGGACCTGACCATTTATTCTATTGCTATTTGAAAAGGACTTACTTATCTTTATTTTATGCATATGGGTGTTTTACTTTCATGAAAGTCTGTGTATCATGTGCATGCTTGGTGCCCTCGGAGGCCAGAAGAGGGCATTGGGTCCTTTGGGATTGAGTTTGAACTGCCATGTGGGTGCTAGAAACTGAACCTAAGTTTTCTACAAGAGCATTAAGTGCCCTTAACCACTGAGCCATCTTTCCAGCCCCATCACAATTACTTTTGATTGAAGTGGAATATTTTGGCTTGTTCAGAAGTTGTAAGAACAGTATTTCCAATTATAAATGATCACCAGCATTAATTAGATGCTTACTAAGGGCCAAACTGAGCAATGTTCTGTTTTATAATTTTATTTTTTATTGTGTGTTTCTGTGTATGGTGTGTGTGTGTGTGTGTGTGTGTGTGTGTGTGTGTGTATGGTGTGTGTGTATGGTGTGTGTGTGTATGGTGTGTGTTATGTGTGTGTATATGGTGTGTGTGTGGGTGTGTGTGTGGTGTGTGTGTGCATGGTGTGTGTGTGTGTGTACGGTGTGTGTGTGTGTATGGTGTGTGTGTATGGTGTGTATGTGTGGTGTGTGTGTATGGTGTGTGTGTGTATGGTGTGTGTGTGGTGTGTGTAT